ACCCTCCTCTCTGCACGTCCACATACACGCCTATAATAGCCAGCCTGCAGGTTCACATACACGCCTGTAATACCCTCCCTGCAGGTCCACATACACGCCATAATACCCTCCCTGTAGGTCCACATACATGCCATAATACCCTCCCTGTAGGTCCACATACACGTAGTAATACCCTCCCTGTAGGTCCACTTACACGCCAGTAATACCCTCCCTGTAGGTCCACTTACACGCTGTAATACATTCCCTGTAGGTCCACATACATGCCTTTAATACCTCCCTGTAGGTACACATACATACAAGTAGTAATACCCTCCTTTTAGGTCCACACACACTGCCCGTAATACCATCCCTGAACGTCAACATACACGCCGTAATACCCTCCCTGCAGGTCCATATACATGCCGTAATACCCTCACTGTAGGTCCACATACACGTAGTAATACCCTACCTGTACGTCCCCATACACGTAGTAATACACTCCCTGTAGGTCCACTTACACGCTTTAATACCCTACCTGTAGGTCCACATACCTACAGACATGGAGTAATACCCTCCCAGTAGGTCCACATACACGCCGTAATACCCTCCATGTACGTCCACATACACGTAATACCCTCCCCGTAGGTCCACTTACATGTCATAATACCCTGCCTGTAGGTCCACATACACGTAGTAATACCCTCTCTGTAGGTCCACATACATGGCGTAATACACTCCCTGTAGGTCAACTTACACGCTGTAATACCCTCCCTGTAGGTCCACATACATGGCGTAATACACTCCCTGTAGGTCCACATACATGTAGTAATACCCTCCCTGTAGGTCCACATACACGCAGTAATACCCTCCCTGTAGGTCCACATACACATAGTAACACCTCCCTGTAGGTCCACATACATGCTGTAATACCCCTCCCTGTAGGTCCACTTACACGCTGAATACATTCCCTGTAGGTCCACATACATGCCTTAATACCCTCCCTGTAGGTCCACATACACGTAGTAATACCCTCCCTGTAGGTCCACATACACTTAGTAATACCCTCCCTGTAGGTCCACTTACACGCCATAATAACGTCCCTGTAGGTACACATACACGTAATAATACCCTCCCAGTAGGTCCACTTAAACGCAATAATACCCTCCCTGTACGTCCACATACATGCCGTAATACCCTCCCTGCAGGTCCACATACACACCGTAATACCCTTCCTGTAGGTCCACATACATGACGTAATACCATCCCTGCACGTCCACATACACGCCGTAATACACTCCCTGCAGGTCCACATAAATGCTGTAATATACTCCCTGTAGGTCCACATACATGCCGTAATACCCTAACTGTAGGTCCACACATGCCGTAACACCCTCCCTGTAGGTCCACATACATGCCGTAATACCCTCCCTGCAGGTCCACATACATGCCATAATAGCCACCCTGCAGGTCCACATACACGCCATAATACCCTCCCTGTAGGTCCACATACATGCCATAATACCCTCCCTGTAGGTCCACATACATGCCATAATACCCTCCCTGTAGGTTCACATACACGTAGTAATACCCTTCCTGTAGGTCCACTTACACGCCGTAATACCCTTCCTGTAGGTCCACTTACATGCCGTAATACATTACCTGTAGGTCCACATACATGCCTTAATACCCTCCCTGTAGGTCCACATACACGCAGTAATACCCTCCCTGTAGGTCCACATACACGTAGTAATACCCTCCCTGAACGTCAACATACACGCCGTAATACCCTCCCTGTATGTCCACATACACGTAGTAATACCCTCCCTGTAGGTCCACATACACGCCGTAATACCCTCCCTGTAGGTCCACATACATGCCGTAATACCCTCCCTGTAGGTCCACATACATGCCGTAATACCCTCCCTGTAGGTCCACATACACGCCGTAATACCCTCCCTGTAGGTCCACATACATGCCGTAATACCCTCCCTGTAGGTCCACATACATGCAGTAATACCCTCCCTGTAGGTCCACATACATGCCGTAATACCCTCCCTGTAGGTCCACATACATGCCGTAATACCCTCCCTGTAGGTCCACATACATGCCGTAATACCCTCCTGTAGGTCCACATACATGCCGTAATACCCTCCTGTGTGTAGTCCACATACACGCCCGTAATACCCTCCCTGTAGGTCCACATACATGCCGTAATACCCTCCCTGTAGGTCCACATACACGCCGTAATAATACCCTCCTGTAGGTCCAGACATGCATGCCGTAATACCCTCCCTGTAGGTCCACATACACGCCGTAATACCCTCCCTGTAGGTCCACATACATGCCGTAATACCCTCCCTGTAGGTCCACATACATGCCTTAATACCCTCCCTGTAGGTCCACATACATGTAGTAATACCCTCCCTGTAGGTCCACATACATGCCGTAATACCCTCCCTGTAGGTCCACATACATGCCGTAATACCCTCCCTGTAGGTCCACATACACACCGTAATACCCTCCCTGTAGGTCCACATACACTTATAATACCATCCCTGTAGGTCCACATACATGCCGTAATACCCTCCTGTAGGTCCACATACATGCCGTAATACCCTCCTGTAGGTCCACATACATGCCGTAATACCCTCCTGTAGGTCCACATACATGCCGTAATACCCTCCTGTAGGTCCACATACATGCCGTAATACCCTCCCTCCTGTAGGTCCACATACATGCCATAATACCCTCCCTGTAGGTCCACATACACGCCGTAATACCCTCCCTGTAGGTCCACATACATGCCGTAATACCCTCCCTGTAGGTCCACATACATGCCATAATACCCTCCCTGTAGGTCCACATACACGTAGTAATACCCTCCCTGTAGGTCCACATACACGCCGTAATACCCTCCCTGTAGGTCCACATACATGCCGTAATACCCTCCCTGTAGGTCCACATACATGCCTTAATACCCTCCCTGTAGGTCCACATACATGCCGTAATACCCTCCCTGTAGGTCCACACATACACGCCCGTAATACCCTCCCCTGTAGGTCCACATACATGCTGTAATAATACCCTCCCTGTAGGTCCACATACATGCCGTAATACCCTCCCTGTAGGTCCACATACACGTCGTAATACCCTCCCTGTAGGTCCACATACATGCCGTAATACCCTCCCTGTAGGTCCACATACATGCCGTAATACCCTCCCTGTAGGTCCACATACACGCCGTAATACCCTCCCTGTAGGTCCGCCATACATATGTAGTAATACCCTCCCCTGTAGGTCCACATACATATGCCGTAATACCCTCCCTGTAGGTCCACATACATGCCGTAATACCCTCCCTGTAGGTCCACATACATGCCGTAATACCCTCCTGTAGGTCCACATACATGCCGTAATACCCTCCTGTAGGTCCACATACATGCCGTAATACCCTCCCTGTAGGTCCACATATCCACATACAGCGTAATACCTCCCCTGTAGGTCCACATACATGCCGTAATACCCTCCCTGTAGGTCCACATACACGTATGTAATACCCCTCCTCCTGTAGGTCCACATACATGCCGTAATACCCTCCCTGTAGGTCCACATACACGTAGTAATACCCTCCCTGTAGGTCCACATACACTGTAATACCCTCCCTGTAGGTCCACATACACAAGTAATACCCTCCCTGTAGGTCCACATACATGTCATAAATACCCTCCCTGTAGGTCCACATACACGCGTAATACCTCCCTGTAGGTCCACATACATGCCATAATACCCTCCCTGTAGGTCCACATACACGTCGTAATACCCTCCCTGTAGGTCCACATACATGCCTTAATACCCTCCCTGTAGGTCCACATACACGTAGTAATACCCTCCCTGTAGGTCAACATACATGTAGTAATACCCTCCCTGTAGGTCCACATACACGCCGTAATACCCTCCCTGTAGGTCCACATACACACCGTAATACCCTCCCTGTAGGTCCGCATACACGCCATAATACCATCCCTGCATGTCCACATAAATGCTGTAATATACTCCCTGTAGGTCCACATACATGCCGTAATACCCTCCCTGTAGGTCCACATACATGCCGTAATACCCTCCCTGTAGGTCCACATACATGCCGTAACACCCTCCCTGTAGGTCCACATACATGCCGTAATACCCTCCCTGTAGGTCCACATACATGCCGTAATAGCCACCCTGTAGGTCCACATACACGCCATAATACCCTCCCTGTAGGTCCACATACATGCCATAATACCCTCCCTGTAGGTCCACATACATGCCATAATACCCTCCTGTAGGTTCCACATACACGTAGTAATACCCTCCCTGAACGTCAACATACACGCCGTAATACCCTCCCTGTATGTCCACATACACGTAGTAATACCCTCCCTGTAGGTTCACTTACACGCAGTAATCGTAATACTTAGTAATACTCCCTGTAGGTCCACATACATGGCACGTAATACACTCCCTGTAGGTCCACATACATGCCGTAATACCCTCCCTGTAGGTCCACATACACCTAGTAATACCCTCCCTGTACATCCACATACACGTAATACCTTCCCTGTAGGTCCACATACAAGCCGTAATACCCTCCTGTAGGTCCACTTACACGGCGTAATACATTCCCTGTAGGTCCACATACATGCCTTAATACCCTCCCTGTAGGTCCACATACACGTAGTAATACCCTCCCTGTAGGTCCACATACACGTAGTAATATCCTCCCTGTAGGTCCACTTACACGCCATAATAACTTCCCTGTAGGTACACATACACGTAATAATACCCTCCTAGTAGGTCCACTTACACGCAATAATACCTTCCCTGTACGTCCACATACATGCCTTAATACCCTCCCTGTAGGTCCACATACATGTAGTAATACCCTCCCCGTAGGTCCACTTACACGCTGTAATACCCTCCCTGCAGGTACACATACATGCCATAATACCCTGCCTGTAGGTCAACATACATGCCGTAATACCCTCCCTGTAGGTCCACATACATGCCGTAATACCCTCCCTGTAGGTCCACTTACACGCCGTAAAACCCTCCCAACACGTCAACATACATGCCGCAATACCCTCCCTGCAGGTACACATACATGCCGTAAAACCCTCCCTGTAGGTCCATATACCTACAGACACGCCATAATACCCTCCCTGTAGGTCCACATACATGCCGTAATACCCTCCCTGTAGGTCCACTTACACGCCGTAATACCCTCCCTGCAGGTCCACATACACACCGTAATACCCTCCCTGTAGGTCCACATACACGACGTAATACCATCCCTGCACGTCCACATACACGCCGTAATACACTCCCTGCAGGTCCACATACATGCCGTAATACACTCCCTAGTAGGTCCACATACATGCCGTAATACCCTCCCTGTAGGTCCACATACATGCAGTAATACCCTAACTTTAGGTCCACATATATGCCGTAACACCCTCCCTGTAGGTCCACATACATGCCGTAATACCCTCCCTGCACGTCCAGATACACGCAATAATAGCCACCCTGCAGGTTCACATACACGTCGTAATACCCTCCCTGCAGGTCCACATAGACGCCATAGTACCCTCCCTGTAGGTCCACATACATGCTATAATACCCTCCCTGTGATCCACATACATGCCGTAATACCCTCCCTGTAGGTCTACACACACGTAGTAATACCCTCCCTGTACGTCCACATACACGTAAAACCCTCCCTCTAGGTCCACATACATGCCGTAATACCCTCCCTGTAGGTCCACTTACACGGCGTAATACATTCCCTGTAGGTCCACATACATGCCTTAATACCCTCCCTGTAGGTCCACATAGACGTAGTAATACCCTCCCTGTAGGTCCACTTACACGCCATAATAACTTCCCTGTAGGTACACATACACGTAGTAATACCCTACCTGTAGGTCCACATACACGTACCAATACCCTCCCTGTAGGTCCACATAGACGCAGTAATATCCTCCCTGCACGTCAACATACATGTCGTAATACCCTCCGTGTAGGTCCACATACACGCCATAATACCCTCCCTGCAGGTCTAGATACATGCCTTAATACCCTAACTGTAGGTCCACATCGAGTAATACCCTTACTGTAGGTCCACATACACATAGTAATACCATCCCTGTAAGTCCACATACACTCCGTAATACCCTACCTGTAGGTCCACATACATGCCGCAATACCGTCCCTGTAGGTCCACATACACGTAGTAATACCCTCCATGCACGTCCAACATACATGCCGTATCATTCCTCCCTGTAGGTCAACATACATGCCGTAATACCCTTCCTGTAGGTCCACATACATGCCGTAATACCCTCCCTGCACGTCGACATACACGCCGTAATACCCTCCCTGTAGGTCCACATACACGCTGTAAAACCCTCCCCGTAGGTCCACATACTTGCCGTAATACCCTCACTGTAGGTCCAAATACACGCCGTAATACCCTCACTGTAGGTCCACATACCAACATACACTCCATATTACCCTCCGTGTAGGTCCACATACATGCCTCAATACCCTCCCTGTACGTCGTCATACATGCCATAATACCCTACCTGTAGGTCCACATACATGCCGCAATACCGTCCCTGTAGGTCCACATACACGTAGTAATACCCTCCATGCACGTCAACATACATGCCGTAATACCCTCCCTGTAGGTCAACATATATGCCGTAATACCCTTTCTGTAGGTCCACATACATGCCGTAATACCCTCCCTGCACGTCGACATACACGCCGTAATACCCTCCCTGTAGGTCCACATACACGCTGTAAAACCCTCCCCGTAGGTCCACATACTTGCCGTAATACCCTCCCCGTAGGTCCAAATACACGCCGTAATACCCTCCCTGTAGGTCCACATACACGTAGTAATACCCTCCTTGTAGGACCACATACACGTACCAATACCCTCCCTGTAGGTCCACATAGACGCAGTAATATCCTCCCTGCACGTCAACATACATGTCGTAATACCCTCCGTGTAGGTCCACATACACGCCATAATACCCTCCCTGCAGGTCTAGATACATGCCTTAATACCCTAACTGTAGGTCCACATCGAGTAATACCCTTACTGTAGGTCCACATACACATAGTAATACCATCCCTGTAAGTCCACATACACTCCGTAATACCCTACCTGTAGGTCCACATACATGCCGCAATACCGTCCCTGTAGGTCCACATACACGTAGTAATACCCTCCATGCACGTCAACATACATGCCATAATACCCTCCCTGTAGGTCAACATACATGCCGTAATACCCTTCCTGTAGGTCCACATACATGCCGTAATACCCTCCCTGCACGTCGACATACACGCCGTAATACCCTCCCTGTAGGTCCACATACACGCTGTAAAACCCTCCCCGTAGGTCCTCATACTTGCCGTAATACCCTCACTGTAGGTCCAAATACACGCCGTAATACCCTCCCTGTAGGTCCACACACCAACATACACTCCATATTACCCTCCCTGTAGGTCCACATACATGCCTCAATACCCTCCCTGTACGTCGTCATACATGCCTTAATACCCTCCCTGTAGGTCCACATACATGCCGTAATACCCTCCCTTTAGGTCCACATACCTACATACACATCGTAATGCCCTCCCTGTAGGTCGACATACACGCTGTAATACCTTCCCTGTAGGTCCACATACATGCCGAAATACCCTCCCTGAAGGTCCACATACATGCCGTAATACCCTCCCTGTAGGTCCACATACATGCCGTAAACCCTCCCTGTAGGTCCACATACATGCCGTAATACCCTCCCTGTAGGTCCACATACATGCCGTAATACCCTCCCTGTAGTTCCACATACATGCCGTAATACCCTCAATGTAGGTCCATATACATGCCGTAATACCCTCCCTGTAGGTCCACATACACGCTGTAATACCTTCCCTGTAGGTCCACATACATGCCGTAATACCCTCCCTGCACGTCCACATACACGTCGTAATACACTCCCTGTAGGTCCACATATATGCCGAAATACACTCCCTGTAGGTCCACATACATGCCGTAATAGCCTACCTGTAGGTCCACATACATGCCGTAATACCCTCCCTGTAGGTCCACATACATGCCGTAATACCCTCCCTGTAGGTCCACATACATGCCGTAATGCCCTCCCTGCACGTCCACATACACGTCGTAATAGACTACCTGTAGGTCCACATATATGCCGTAATACACTCCCTGTAGGTCCACATACATGCCGTAATAGCCTACCTGTAGGTCCACATACATGCCGTAATACCCTCCCTGTAGGTCCACATACATGCCGTAATACACTCCCTGCACGTTGACATACACGCCATAATACCCTCCCTGCAGGTCCACATACTCGCCATAATATCCTCCCTGTAGGTCCACATACACGCCATAATACCCTCCCTGTAGGTCCACATACACGCCATAATACCCTCCCTGCAGGTCCACATACATGCCTCAATACCCTCCCTGTAGGTCCACATACACGCTGTGAAACCCTCCCTGTAGGTCCACATACATGTCGTAAAACCCTCCCTGTAGGTCCACATACATGCCTTAAAACCATCCCTGCACATCAACATACATGCAATACTACCCTCTCTGTAGGTCCACATAGATGCCGTAATACCCTCCCTACACGTCAACATACATACCGTAATACCCTCCCTGCACGTACACATACACTGTAGGTCCACATACATGCCGTAATACCCTCCCTGCACGTACACATACACTGTAGGTCCACATACAAGTAGCAATACCCTCCCTGTAGGTCCACATACATGCCGTAATACACTCCCTGCACGTTGACATACACACCATAATACCTTCCCTGCAGGTCCACACACACGCCATAATATCCTCCCTGTAGGTCCACATACACGCCATAATACCCTCCCTGTAGGTCCACATACACGCCATAATACCCGCCCTGCAGGTCCACATACATGCCATAACACCCTCCTTACAGGTCAACATACATGCCATAATAACCTTCCTGTAGGTCTACATACATGCCGTAATACCTTCCCTTCAGGTCCACATACATGCCGTAATACCCTCACTGTAGGTCCACATACACGTAGTAATACCCTCCCTGTAGGTCCACATACACGTAGTAATACCTTCCATTCACGTCAACATACATGCCGTAATGCCCTCCCTGTAGGTCAACATACATGCCGTAATACCCTCCCTGTAGGTCCACATACATGCCGTAATACCCTCCCTGCACGTCGACATACACGCCGTAATACCCTCCCTGTAGGTCCACAAATACGCAGTAATACCCTCCCTGTAGGTCCACATACCTACATACACGCCATAATACCCTCCCTGTGGGTCCACATACATGCCTCAATACCCTCCTGTAGGTCCACATACACACTGTGAAACCCTCCCTGTAGGTCCACATACATGCCGTAAAACCCTCCCTGTAGGTCCACATACATGCCTTAATACCATCCCTTAGAACATAAACATACATGCAATAATACCCTCTCTGTAGGTCCACATAGATGCCGTAATACCCTCCCTACACGTCAACATACATGCCGTAATACCCTCCCTGCACGTACACATACACTGTAGGTCCACATACATGCCGTAATACCCTCCCTGCACGTACACATACACTGTTAGGTCCACATACAGGTAGCAATACCCTCCCTGTAGGTCCACATACACGCTGTAAAACCCTCCCTGTAGGTCCACATACATGCCGTAATACCCTTCCTGTAGGTCCACATACATGCCGTAATACCCTCCCTGCACGTCGACATACATGCCGTAATACCCTCCCTGTAGGTCCACATACACGCTTTAAAACCCTCCCCGTAGGTCCACATACTTGCCGTAATACCCTCACTGTAGGTCCAAATACACGCCGTAATACCCTCCCTGTAGGTCCACATACCCACATACACTCCATATTACCCTCCCTGTAGGTCCACATACATGCCTCAATACCCTCCATGTACGTCCACATACATGCCTTATTACCCTCAATGTAGGTCCACATACCTACATACACGCCATAATACCCTCCGTGTAGGTCAACATACATGTCTTAATACCCTCCCTGTATGTCCACATACATGCCGTAATACCCTCCCTGTAGGTCCACATACCTACATACACATCGTAATGCCCT